ATAGAATTCATCCCAGGTAATTGATGTCTTCAGTTTGAGGTAGTATTGTTGTTATTTTTACTGTAGTTTGACATCAAAATGTGTTGTTGCTTCAAGAATCTTATGTTCATCATTATTCTCAAAGTACTGTTCTTGATAAGCATAGAAGACAAGGCTTGAGGAGGTAAAGTCGTCTAGTTCCTTGAGACTTTTTGCCTTAAACTCATTTGAGAGTTTTCAAATTGGCGCGGGATGAGGCTTGGGATAAGTGAGATTGGCATTGTTGTTGTAGTTCAAGAACTTTCTTGTATATTTCTTGATGTTCTTGTTCTTGTTGAACTATCTGAATCTCTTTATCAACTGATGTGTGAGATGCTTCAATATTTCTTTCTGAAGTCAAACTTGGTGATTTTTCATAGAGAGTTTCTTCTACACATGCTTCTTCATTAAATGTTGTGTGTGAGGTGTTGATTTATAAGTTATGTTTTGAACTCATTGTTATAGACTTAACAAACAACCTCTTTTAAAGTGGTTAAAAACTGTGAGTACACTTAGAGTGAATGAACTGAGTATCAAAAGAAAGTGTGAGAAGCTCTATAACTAGGATTGTAAGAGGGTAGGTATATAGATGCAGTGAGTGTTACAGAAGAAAGAGAATAACAATGAATGAAAATGTATGTATAGAATCAAATAGTAGCTAATCACTGAATTCCTTCAAGAACTTTGAGGATTCAGAGTGTTTATATACATGAATGAGTAGCAATAGATTTTATCTCTAGTCTTTCATGAAAGGGAGAATTTAGTAATATAATAGTCTGATTTCTCATGAAGTGCTGATTTTATTCTTCAGAAAATGCTGATTCTAAAGAACTGATTTTTGAGAAGTGCTGATTCTTTAGAGATGCTGATTCTAAAGTGCTTTGATAAGCAATGTGAGGAGGTAAGCACTTTAGTAAGCAGTGTGATAAGCAGTGTGAGGGCAAGGAGCTAGTCTAGAGAGTTTTGACATCACATTACATCTCAGAAAAAGTGCTGCTACAATATAATGAGCAGAGCATTCTACACTCATGTGCCTTCTTCTTTTGCAAGCATTCACCTGCAGAATACAACTATGAGATTCATGATAAGAAGTCATTAGCAATAATTGAGTGTTTAAAGAAATAAGATTCTTAGCTACAAAGTGTAAAGGAATTCAAGATTCTCACAGATCATAAGAATCTAGAATACTTCGTAACTACACACAGACAAAACAAAAGACAGCTACATTAGATGGATATTCTCTATTGATCCAACTTCAGAATTGATTATCAGCTAAAGAAGTTGAACATCAGATCAGATGCTATATCATGAAAAGAGCAAAACATGTCACAGAGTGCTGATGATGAGAGTGTGATGCCAAGACTCTCTAGGCTAGCTCCTTGCCCTCACACTGCTTACCACACTGCTTATTAAAGTGCTTACCTCCGCACATCACTTATCAAAGCACCTTAAAATCAGCATCTCTCAAAAATCAGTTCTTTAAAATCAGCACTTCCTGAAGGATAGGATCAGCACTTCATGAGGAATCAGACCATTACATTACTAAATTTCCTCTTTCATGAAAGACTAGAGATAAAATCTATTACTACTTATTCATGTATATAAACACTCTGAATCTCTAAAATTTTTGAAGAGATTCAGTGATTAGCTATTATTTAATTCTATACATACATTTTCATCCATCATCATTCTCTTCCTTCTATAATGCTCACCATGTCTATATATCTACCCTCTTATGATTCTAGTTATAGAGCTTCTCACACTTTTTTTTGACACTCAGTTCATTCACTCTAAATGTTCTCACAGAGAGGATCAAGCAGAGGCAAGCTCAACTACTTAAGTTTAACATACTAGCATCTGGAATGAAACCAATAGTGATCACTGCCAGTGTGAAACCTGAGATGTCTCTTCAAGCTCAGTGAAATGAGGCTCACAAAAATGACAAGATTCTGCAGTATCTGAAGCAAACTCTTCATGAGAAAAAATTCAGATTTTCTTCTGAACTTAGCATTAAAATCTGTCTTTGAGTGCTCTTTAAACAAGAACAGAGAGCTTCTTTTTCAAGATCATAAGTGAATGCCAGACTTTGAATCTTTTTAAATCAGATTAGTGCATGAAGCTTATAACTCACCTCTTATCAATCATTCTGAGTGAGAGCAAACAGTAGAAGTTCTAAGACATAAGTTCTACTGGTCAGGCTATGCTGCTGATGTGAGAAGAATGATCAGAAACTGTCATCTTTGCAAATCAAACACTGCATGAAGAGATTAACATCAAAAACTGCTTAAGCCTCTCCTCATTTCTGAACACATATGGCAGAAGCTTTTCATAGACTTTATCATAAACTTATCAAGCTTTAAAGAATACATGAACATCATAGTTATAATAGATAGACTGATCAAGAGAATTATATTAAAAGCAGTTAAGAAAACTGATGTGAAGATGATAGTTAAAGTGTTTCTTTGCAACATCATCTCTCAATATGATATCTCTAAGATGATAGTTTCAGATTGAGGATCAGCTTTCACAAGCATGTTTTGAACTCAGATATGTGAGAAATTAGGTATTAAAAAATGACTCTTCATAGTCTATCACTTAGAGACTGACAGAGCTACAAAGTGAATGAATCAGACTTTGAAAATCTATCTACACAAGTACATTAGCTTTCAACAAAATGACTGATGTAAATGATACTCTCTAGCAGAGCTAGTCATCAATAATAGAGATGCTGTCTCAACAGACATGAGCTCATTTCTTTTAACACATCTTTTTCATATCTTTTTCATTGATATAGCTGATACACCTTCTGTTGAAATGTCTCATAATTTCATTGAGTTTGCAGATGATTATATAAAAAAGATCTGTAAAGTATTGAAGTGAGCTTAAGTAAAAATGACAGATGCTCAGCAATTTCAAGAGAAATATGTGAATAGATAAAGAAACTCAGCTTCAAGCTTTCAATCTGAAGATAAGATCTGATTGAGCTTAGAGAATATGAGAACTAATCATCTTTGCAAGAAGCTGAATGTGAAATACAATCAATATACTATGCTAGAAAAGATGGAATCTCATACTTACTGATTGAATATTTTACTCAGCATTTACAATGTCTTTAATGTAAAGCTTTTACATGCTGTGATAACAGATCTTCTGCATAGTTTGAGACAAACTGACTGACAGTCACTCACTATAGAGACCTCAAAAGAATCTGAGTTTAAGATTGAGAAAATTCAAAGTGAATGAATCTATCAGAGAAAAAAACAATATTTTATTAAATGAGTAGATTGGGCTAAGTCTACATAGAATGATGTAAGTCTTCTACAAGAAGTGAAGGCTTTGAATGCTTGAGAGGCTTTTTAGCAGGTAAAATTAAATATAAAGAGGACTTTAAATAGTTGTAAAGACCTGTAACAAAGAGGGAGAAGAGAAGTATTATAAGAGATTGAATCTCTAAATTCACTATGACTGACTGACTCAGCCTAGTCATCATTTGCAAATGCACATATGATCATGCTACACAAGCTCACTTAAGCTTGAGTTCTTATCTCATTCTTTTTTCCCTTTCTCAAGCAATTCATTTTTGTTATATAGAAGGACTAGTCTCTAATTCTTAAAGCTTAACTTTTTACAATTTTAAATCATGTATTTTTTAATTTTTTATAAATATCTTTTTTATTATATTTAAAAAAGCTTTGATGAGATCAGTATGAGAGAATATTTAATATGATAAAAAAAATCAAAATTGACAAAGTTTTTAAAAAAAATTAAATATATTTTTTCTTAATAAAAATTTAATAAAAATTTAATAAAAAAACTTTTAAAAATTATCAAATTTTTTTTGAATTAATTAATCTTTTACTTATTTAATTTTTATATTTTTTTTAAATTAAATATTAAAAATTGATAATAAAAATAATTACTAAATATTAATTTTTTTAAAAAAATATATTTTCAATAATTATTTTTTCAAATCTTATTTAAATATTATAAAAATTAAAAAAACTAATCAATTTTTATAAAAACTTTTAAATAAAAATATTTTTAAATTTAAATTTCCAAAATTAATTAAGTTTTATAAAGATATTAATTAATTTATTTTATTTTATACTCTATTATATTATTTATTTTATGAGAAGTTATTTATTTTATTTAAAGAAATTAAAAAAAACTGAATTAAAATTAAAATTATAAATATATTTTTTATTTAAAAAATATTAAATATTATTTTGAAATAAAACTTTATAATCATATAATTTAATCAAATAAAGATGATAATTACTAATTAAATATATTTTAAATAAATAAATTAATAAATAATAATAATAATAATAATAATAATAATAATAATAATAAGATTAATAAAAAAAATTTAAAAAAAAAAATTAAATATAAATAAATAGCTAATAAAAATAATATTTAAAAGAAATATAAAATAATAATGATAATAATAGTAATTATATATAAATTAATTAAAAAATTAAGAAAAAATAAAAATTGAAAAGGAAAAAACCTGGGCTCATCCAGGAATTGAACCTGGGACCTCGCGCATTTTTGAAAAAAAATGCCCGAAGCGCGAATCATTCGACTAGACCACTCTGCCGCGGCGAGTGCTATTGGCCCAGCCTTTATTATTAGATATTTTTCTATCTGGAGAATTTTGTCTGGGATTGTCGAAGCAACTATTCTCTATGTCGATACTCGGAGTGACGATAAATTTACTTTTAACAAATGGGGCCACCTATGGTTGCTCTATCTACATTTTACGAGGTAATATAATGTTCCTCTGTATGTAAGGTTGAGTGCAAGAGCAGAAATGCAAGAAACTTTTAGCTAATTTACTAGCGGCACATTAGATGCTTTGACCAAATAAGCTTATTTGTGATCCAACGTGCTTCAGCCATAAACCAACCCACTTTCCAACCAGACCCGTATTCTTCGATCAGCACCTCGATTCTCCAGCTTCACAGAGCTACATTGACACAATGGATGCCGTTATTGACCTTTCTGACGCTTCCAAAGCTTTGGACCTTGCTAATATTCGCTTTCAGCTAATGTAAGTGGGCAACTCAAACCATATCTACCCTACCACGCACCGATGACTGTATTTCCTTGTATTCCTCCTCCGCGAAGAAATCTGAAGCGTAGAAGGAATAATCAAAGAAAAAGGAAGAAGCAGAAGAACTCTATAGCAAACCTTTCAGCAAAGTTACCGTACCCTGCTAATGCCCCTCATTCAGTCGTCTCGAAGATACCATCACCTTCCACCTAATCGAGCGTGTCCAATTCCCTCTCAACAAAACCATCTATATCCCCGGCGGCGTCAAAATCCCGAACTCAGACCTCAGTCTTATGGACTACCTGCTGCGTGAGCAGGAACGTCTCCAGTCCCGTGTGCGCCGCTACCAGTCCCCAGATGAATACCCATTTTTCCCAGATGCCCTTGAAGAGCTCATCATCCAGCCCATTGATTACCCCAAGATCCTCCATGACAACGATGTCAACGTCAACTCTGTAATCAAGTCGCGATACACGAACGAGATCCTACCCAAGGCTTGTAAGAAATTTAACCGCGAGGATCGTGGCGAGGCGCAGGAGAATTACGGCTCTGCAGCAACGTGCGATGTCAATTGTCTGCAGGCGTTGTCGAGACGGATACACTTTGGCAAGTTTGTGGCTGAGTCAAAGTTCCGGGCAGATCCTGAGAAGTTTGTCAAGTTGATTAAGGCTGGCGATAGGGAAGGGATCCATGAGGCTATTACCAATGTCGCGGTGGAGAAGAAAGTACTGGAACGACTCAGGCTGAAGGCAAGGGCGTACGGAACAGATCCTTCTGGGCCTCTTACGCCTGACGACGATAACCAGAAGATTAATGTTGAGGCGGTTGTGGCTATGTATAAGGTTTGTCATAATATTTTATTTAATCGTTGTGCTGGTTGTTCGGACTAACAGCGTAACAGGACAACGTGATTCCGATGACGAAGATTGTGGAGGTGGAATATCTAATGCAGCGGCTGAATGGCACCCAATGGGAATAATCACAGACATATCCGTAGAAGGAATAGATAGAAATATACCTTTATTTCGGCACAATGATTTCACGACGATTGACGGTTTACGGCGTTACGTACCTTCAAAGATTAAGGCGAAAATGGTGGGGAAGGGGAAGGGTATAAGGGGGGAAACGGAAACTTTAAGGAATGAAAGAATTTATATATGATAGAGACAATTAAATCTGAGCGTCATTCATTTCTTCATGACGGCATTAGATATCCCTTTAAATCAACCACCGCCTCTTTGAACTTCGCCGCTTCTATAAGAATCAAATGCCCCCCTGGCCGCACCCCATATTCATGAAACGCCCGCTTGGAGTCTGATGCGCCTTCCTCCTGCTGATGCGTGTATTGATATCCCCCATAGCAGAGCGCATGTTTTTTCAGTATTTCATCTTCCGGGTGAAAATAGAATGTTTCGGTTTTCTCATCCACATCCTTTTTCTTCTTCTTCTGCGGCCTATCGTCTTCCTCGTCTAGTTTTGATTTGATTTTTTCGTAGGTCCGTGATAGAACAAGGTAGTGTGAGAAGTTGTAGGGTTCGTTTTCTTCAAGGGCCCAGGCTATTTCTTCTAGGAGCATGGCGTACATGGGTGGAACAACTTCAACAGGGACGTTGATCAGTCGTTCCGTTAATACCAATCCAATTGCTGGTGGAGTTGGCTGTGAGAGGAGTTCATGTAGGGGTGAGAATTGGGGAGAGGAAGATTTTCGTTGGAGGTAGTTTGTTAGGTCTTTTATAACGGGCACCTCCTGTATAATCAAGTAACATATGGGATTAGCATTGAGAATTACGGAGTACATAGACATATAGCAGTACACTTCATGAGGGTAACGGCTGTCGTGAGTAGACGTTGTACGCACCTTATGCTGCTGCAGATTCAGCACAGTCAGGAATGCAAATGGGTCACTTTCATTCCCGTCAACCTTCACCGTCGAGCCTAACAGAGGTTGCGACAGTATCAGGTCTGTTAATGTTGAGAGGTCAAATAGTGGCGCATCATTGTCTAGCAGCTGGCGAACGAGATTCCTGATGCCGTCGAAGTCTACTGCTGGCTGTGGATCGAACCACTCAAAGTCGACATTTACTATATCCAACTCCTGTCATCATATCTCAAGGCCTGTCAGAAACTGGTGTTCTAAAAAGAATATGCAAAAAAAAAAGGGGTGGGGCGGTGTCCGGTTAAGGGAGAGAGAAGATTAAGATGTTTACCTCCTCGCTACTGCTATCATTTTCGCCTATCGCCTTAATTGTGTTGCCCATCTGCACGGTGCCATCCTTCAATTGCTTGCGTTTACTCATGTTGAAATAATCTCAAAGTTGGGTTTTACATTATACGAGAGGAGCTTGCTCCAAGGAAGGATAGTCATTGTCATGGAGAAAATATATGGTGATTGTTCGGTGGTTTGGTCCCACTAAGCTACAATGGGTTTAGTAGTTGTCTATCTATTGGTTGATAATGAGCGTCCAACGACTAACCGGGCCCTAGTGGTTGATTATGAAATCAACCACTGGTCGGACCCTTGCATATGAGGATCTGCCACCTCAATGTGAACTACCATCTCAGTATGAATTTTTTTTAAAAAAAAATTCTATTCCTTCTTCAAAATTCAATAACCAGTCAACACAATGACTTCTTCATATATTATAATAGACAATAAGATCATAGAAGCTCTAGAATTCATAGTCAATATTGAATATTTTAATATTAATATATTGATGAAAAAATTAAATATTTCTTATTTATATTTGATTAATCAATTTTATAACTATTTCTCTTGCATTAAAAGAACATCTGCTAATCAATTACTATCTTCTGATCAGGAGAAATCAATCTATCAATATATAGAAATACTAGATAAGATAGATTTATATTTTAATTAATCAATCATATTTAATACTATTTAATTCATTTTTATAAAGAATTATAAAGATCTTATTAATCATTCATCTAAAATTGAAAAACATTAAGTTAAAAGATTTATCATTTATTATTTTGAATATAATATATAACAGTAGAAGATTATTAATATGATAAAAAAAATAAGTTTATAAACTATTATTTATATTTAATTGATTTAATTATTTTAAGAAAATAATGAATAACTTTGAGATTTAATTTAATTTTTTCAACATTTTTTTCAAAATTTAGCTAATTTTTGAAATTTCAATTTAAGAATAATTTTATTTGAAAGCATTTATTAAAATTAACTAGTTTTTTAATTTTTAAACTGTTCAAATAAGATTTGAAAAATTAATTATTAAAAATATACTTTTTTTTAAAAAGTAAATATTTATTAATAATTTTTATCATTAATTTACAATACTTGATTTAAAGATTATTAAAATTGAATGACTAAGAAATTGATTAAATTAAAATAATTTAAATAATTTATAAAAGCTTTTATCAAATTATTATTAAGAAAAAATATATCTAAGTTTTTTAAAAACTTTTTTAATTTTGAATTTCTTTTCATTATATTAACTATCTTCTCATATCATTCTCGTCAAAGTTTGTTTAGATATAGTAGAAAAGATATCTGTGAAAAAGTAAAAAATATATAATTTAATTATAAGAAGTTAAACCTCTAGATTCACTTTGGCTGACTGACTCAACCTAGTCATCATTTGCATGTGTGCACATGATCATGCTATATGAGCTCACTTAAGCTTGAGTTCTTGTCTCATTTTTTTCTTCCCTTTCTCAAGCAATTTGTTCTTGTTATATAAAAGGACTAGCCTCTAGTTCTTAGAGCTTAAATGTTTACATTATGAATTGCTTGATTTCTTTTATTGATAGGTCACTGGGAGCTTTAATTCTGTATCATAAAGCTCAGCAAATATGCTGATATATGATAAACTATTGAGAGCCTTAAATACTGCATCATGAAGTCCAGTGATAGTACTGGTATATGAATAAACTAGGTTAGCAATCATGCTAACAAACAAATAAGCAATATTGAAAACATCTAACTGAAAGAGATAAAGTGACAGACTTGTACAATGAATATATAAATGAATCAATGTGAAGTAATGAGCAGGGACATCTTCAGCAACTTTGAACAATAATGAATAGTCTTTCTTCAACAGCAGAAATAGATTCAGTATGAGAACAGAGATTTAATAGCAGCTCAGCAAGCTGAAATAGCTAATCTATATCAAGCTTTGAACACTCTGACATCAATTCTCTCTCAATTGAACTCAGAACCACTCATTGCTGTCAGAAGATAAAAGATCAAACTACTGAACTGTGAGAAATATGATGATTTTAATCTGAAGCACTACTCTCAATGAGAGCTAAAACTTCAATCAAAGCTTAAGATCAATGAGAAAGCTTTAGACAATAATGAAAAATATGTTTGATATATGTACTTGAGATTGAAAGAAATGGCAGCAGCTCAAGTTTATTTCTGAGTTGAGAATAATAAGAACAAGATCAACTTCACAGTAGAGAGCTTACTGAAGCAGACACACATGCTTTTTAGTGATTCTGCATGACAGAAAAAGACTATGCAAAAGCTCAACAATCTATGACAGAGTAGAAGAGCTCTCTTCAACTTTTTGTTTGAATTTAATCAGCTACTGCTGGAAGCTAGTGATCACAGATGAAATGATCATATAAAAAAAAATATTTAAAATCCACTCTAAGCATGGAGCTGAGGGAAGGTATGATGAGTGTAAAAGAACTATCTCTTTACAAGAATTACTGCAAGAAGCTTAGATTAATTGATCATCAACTCTCTGAGCTTAAAACTTTAAGACAGTGATCTAAATATTGTAAGAGCAGATCTTCTTCAGATCATATAATATCTAATTCACACTCTCTATTTTGTCATGCTGTTCTCAATTGATGAAATCAGTCTCAAGCTTCTGCTGATAATCTGATGAATCTCTCTTCTGATGCTGTGACTTCAAGCATTCATCATATTAAATTGATAAATCAGATAGAGATTAATCAAAGAAGAGAGCAAGATTTGTGTCTGATTTATGAAGTCAGAGATCATATAATTAAGAGCTGTTTGTTCAAATCTTTCAGACATTCTGTCACTCTCATGATAGCTAAAATGATTCTCAAGCTGATACTGAATGTCGATGATGATATGGATATGAGTAAGAATTTGAGAAAAGAGTAGCTTCAATCAAAAGACACTGAAAGAAGTGAAATAAAAAGCTTATGAAGAAGCAATAAAGAAGATTTAAATCTAAGATAATATTTAAACCCTTCACTGTCAATGCTCTAGTAGGTAATGCCTTTTTGACTAGAGCAATGATAGACAGTGAAGGTAATGTTTATGATCTTATTTCTCAATTCTACATTAATAAGCATAAGCTCCTATGCATTGAAATTCTCTCTGTTAAAATGATGTTACAAATTTAAAGAAATACTTCATATGAACAATCAAGAAATCATTGAGTAGGAATAAATCTAATAAGAGGGCTGACAGAGACTAAGCGACAGAATAGCAGAATATATTTCTGAAGAGAGTATAGATTGTATGACTGATAGATTGATATGACTGATAAATTTATCTATCAGACCTATCAGTAGATTAGTATGATCAGTATATCAGATCTACCAGATCTACCACAGGATTTCATCATATATATAAAGAGACTCATTACTCTTAGAATCAAAGAAGCTTCTCTTCTTGATCATGATCAATTTCATTACACTTTGAGAACACTCTACCTTTCAACTATTTTATTTAGTTATAATTATAGTTTTAATTTTCTTGAGATACCCTTCTACTGTGTCTACATCTTTTATAAATCATTAGAGTCTTAGACACTTGCCTTAGCTATTATCAGTAATAGATATTAATATTTTTATTATTCAATTCTAGTGGCAACTGACCTTCTTACAGTGATTAAGCATGATAAGGCACTTAGTCAATCTGATATTAATCAACTCAGATGAACGCTTGCTGTAACAGAACCAAGTCCAGTTAACAAATAACCAGCTTTGAAGACTCCATTGAACTCTCCACAAGCATAGTGACTGGCATTTGAATTGATATAGATGATCACATAACTGAACAGACCTTTCTCTACATGATGAATAGATTACATAGTCATGATATATATGTAGATGATCTTTAGCTGGCCCAGTAAAAGATGATTGTGATTTCTCATTGAAGAATTATGGGATTTGAAGAGAGTGGTATAGAGATAGAGTCTAGTTCAAACACAAAAGCTGATATGATTTCTATCTCTGCTGTAAGCTTCTTTAGACTTGTGAGCACTTAAGAGAAATGAAACATCAAGATCTTCACTGTCAGTTTAACTGACATTCAAAAGACTCTAGAAGTAAAATCAAAGATTAACTCTAGAGAAAATTTGTCTGAATATTATCATGAGTTTTTGAATGTATTTGATAAGGAAGCTGCTGACACTTTACTCCCACTTCATGGCCCAAGTAGAGATCATAGAATTGAATTGATTAAAAGGGCTGATGGTAGTGCAGAATAATTTTCTTAAGACCTACTATATAATATATCTCAAGAGAAACTACTGGCTTTGTGAAAGACTCTTACAGATTATCTAGATAATGGTTTTATTAAAGTGAGCAACTCCTCCACAGCTGCCTCTGTACTATTTACAAAGAAGTCTGGAAGTGAGCTAAGATTCTGTGTAAACTATGGAGCTTTTAATAAAATCATCTAAAATAATTGATTTTCTCTACCATTAATCAGTTAGACTCTATAGCAAATTGAATGGACTAAATGATTCATTAAGCTGGACATTATTGCAGCTTTTCATAAGATTTAAATCACAGAAGGTGATGAGTGAATGATAGTCTTTAGAACCAGATACAGGCTATTTGAGTAGCTGATTACACTCTTTGATTTAGTCTATGCTCTGAGCACATTTTAAAAATATATCAACTGGGTATTACATAGATATCTGGATAACTTCTACTCAGTCTATTTAGATAACATCTTGATATTTTCCTGAAGAAGCTTACAGAAGCATTGCAAGCATGTACAAAAGATATTTATTTGTCTACAGCAAGCAGGCCTGCAGGCAGATATCAGAAAGAGTGAGTTTAAGATGAACAATATAAAATATTTTAGATTCATTATTGAAGTAAGCAAGGATATATAAATGAATCTGAAGAAGGTTAAAGTTGTTTTGAAATAGGCAACATCTACTACTTTTAAAGATATACAAGGATTTTTAGACTTTACTAATTTCTAGAGATGATTTATTATAAATTTCTCAAAGATTATGACTCTGCTGATGATTCTTATATATAAAAATGTTTCTTTTTTATAGATGAGCAAGACTGAGGAAGCTTTTAA